GCGTCTCCTCTTCCCTTCGGCACTCGGCTTGAATGTTTTCACGAGCACGCGAGAGGAAACGACGACGGACCGAGTGGTGAAGAAACGACGGGAGGGGGGAGAGAGAGAGAGAGAGATAGAGAGAGAGGGACGGCGAACGACGACGGGACCGAGAGTGGTGGTGCTCGGCGCCGCTTCGTGACTGCGACTGGCGAGCCGAGCAACCGAGCTTTGCTCTCCGCCGCTTCGGTCGGTCTGTCAGTGCGCGCCGAGTGCAAGAGGCGCGCGCTCCTCTCCCCTCCCCCCACTCTCCCCACAACCTCATTTCCCCTCCAATGCTCGCCCCTCTGCCGCAACTGGCCGACATGTGTGCGCGTGCTGCGACTCTCTCCCCCCTCCCCCCAACTCCTACGCAACCGTCCGTATTCGATATCCGACCTTCGCCCTTCCCTCCCACGTAGTCTCCTCGCACGCGTCTACGCCTCTCTTTCTCTCTCGACGCCGCTTTCCAAAAAGAAAAGGGAAAGAAAAAGAAAAAAATAGAAGAAAAGGGAAAGAAACAGAGAGAAAAAGGAAAAAGTTTAATTAAGGTGGCCGACTACTTCTACCTAGTACCTCCCCGACGCTCTTTCGCCTAGCTACCTGTTGATGGCTTTCTTGCGTCGTCACCGTGCGACAAAACTTTACACCGGTTCTGTGATTCGGTTTGCAACGAGGGGGCACCATTTGTGACTTTCTAGCAGGCAGTACCAATGAAGGTTACACTGAGTGACTGAACGTGTCTATTCAAGGGGGTATTCTGGTGTGAAGTGCGTTTTTTTTTTTTAACTATTCTATCTTTTGCAGTCAAATTGACAAGGTTTATTTGTACGTGTTTCAACGACGTTTTAAAATTTTTTTGAGACAAAAAAAGGTTAAAGTTAGTGGCACTGCAATACTCTCAAAACGTAGTCGCTTTTAAAAAAGGTGTCCATGATTCTGGCCATTCTGCTTGTCGAAAATGAAAAAACGTGAATGTTTCTTAATTAGTATGAGTTTGGCTATAGCAGGTACCAAAACGAAAGAAAAAAGTTGATAATTAAAAAAGTGGCGATACTTTGAAGTTCGATTGTCGATTTTTGCATGTTTTTTTGTTGAACTTCGGAAGCCTAGAAAAATATAAAAAGTAAAATTTTTTGGTTGATTCTGGTAAGGGCTATAGTCACACATGTACTAAATGCGTACTTGAAATTTTGAGTCAATTGGTCAAGTAGATTTTGAGATATCGTGGGCACCGTTCTGAAAAACATAGTTTCCAGAAAAATGCCTTTAAAGTTTAGTATTGCTGTAACAATGATGCCGGTCGTCGAGTCCTTCAAACAACCATAACTTCGTTAATTTTAGGAGTTCACACGTAAATTTACAGAGATTTATTTTTGAAACGATGTCCTTTAAGAATATGCAAAAAAAAAAAAGAAATCGATTTTTTTCAAAAGTTCACACTAGATTTCTTTCGTCGTCGGCCCGTACTGGAATTTTTACCAAAGATACGTACCGAGTTTCACAGTAATCGGTTGGTTAGGGTCGAACTTTTTTTTAAAAACCACGTTCATGCCAAATTTCATCAAAATCGGCGATTCCAGGTTCGGTGTGTTCCCTTGTAAGAACGAGAGGTCCTCGAAAACAAGGTACGAACGAGGCTGAACGTGTTCGATTTGTTGGAACAAGGGCTTCGTGGAATAATTACCTCGGCGTTTGTTTTCCAGAAAAATTTATAAAGCGTAAATACGCGTGTAATTAATAGAAGCGAACGACCGAAACTGGTCGATGGGAAATTAATCGAACGCGTGTTCGCGTTTAATTACTATGTAAATTTCGTTTCTGGGGAAACGAATACCTCCGGACAGATTGTGATTTCTTTTGTATGTGTGTTTAAAGTTGGTTTTGCATCGACATCGAAATTATTAGCGACTGTTTATATGGTATTTATATGGTACATATATATTTGGTATATATTAGTATGGATTTGTTAATGGTACTTATACTTTGGTATAAATTAGTATGGATTTGTCCTCTTCGGATGACTTTGAGATCATGAGTTTGCAGGTCACTTTAGGAGGACTATTACTGACTCATTGTCAGTGTTAGCACTGAACCAATATTGTCGGGCCTGGTTGGCTTCATCATCCAACACTAGTATAGATCAAAGTACAGGGTGGGAAGAGATGTTTGTCCATGTCTATCATAGATGAATTCTACACCTTCGATTTGATGGCAATGCATATGAGGAACTTGTCGTTTTGACTTGAATGTCAAGGTCAAAATTTTTTTGCATTGTATTCTACTCATCACGAAGGTAAAATTTTTCCAAGAAACCACAGATCGTAATCTAATAGTTCTCTTGAAAAATGGCCAAAAAGTCCTAACAGCGACTTTATGGTTCTGGATCAGGTTCAACTGCAAAAAAAATTCTTTTTGGATTCTACTCATCACGAAGGTAAAATTTTTCCAAGGAACCATAGATCGCAATCTAATAGTTCTCTTGAAAAATGGCAAGAAAGTTCTAACAGCGACTTTATGGTTCTGGAACAGATTTAACTGCAAGAAAATTTCTTTTTGTATTCTACTCATCACGAAGGAACCACAGATCGCAACCTAATAATTCTCTTGAAAAATGGCAAGAAAGTTCTAACAGCGACTTTATAGTTCTGGATCAGGTTTAACTAAAAAAAAATTTTTTTTTGTATTCTACTCATCACGAAGGTAAAATTTTTTCAAGGAACCATAGGTCGCAACCTAATAGTTCTTTTGAAAAATAGCAAAAAGTTTCTCAATCACTTAACAGCGACTTTATGGTTCTGATCTATATTACGTAATGTTTATATTTCGAATAACGTTAACAATTAGTTATTTAGACACGCACTGATGTTGACAACTATGATAAGTCAAATGTTAGCGAAACTTAATTTCGAAAATTACATAAAATGGATAATAAACACGTCCATAACCATAAAGTCGCTGTGAGGACGCACGCACTCTTTTTTAAGAGGACTATTAGGCACCTTTATGATAAGTATAAAAATAAAATTTTTTACCTTGAAACGAATGATTATCCAACATGAATAGTATCGAAATTTAGCGGTCAATAACTGGTAAGAATATTTTTATAATTTCTTCCAAGATTATTCTTTTCGGAGTTTTCAAACTCATTGATGTTCTTTTCCATACAACTGCGTGTTTTTCATACAACTATGTACAGGGTGAAAAGAAAAGTTTATCCGTGGCTATCATAAATGAATTCTATTCGATAATTTCTAACCTTCGATTAGATACTAACAGCGACTTTATAGTTCTGGACGTCAATATTGAATGTCTACACTACATAATGTTTATATTTCCAATAATATTAACAGTTAGTTTTATCATTTGGTTATCTAAACTTACACTGATGCTACAATTATGATAAATCGAATGTAACCTAATACGAAAATCACGTACAATAAACGTCCACGCGTCCAGGACCATGAAGTTAGCACCCACGCTGTCAAATGATTACGAAATTTTCTTGCCATTTTCCAAGAAAACTGTCAGGTTGCCACCTTCCTTGAAAAAGTTCCACCTTCGTGACGAGTAGAATACAATGCAAAAAAAAAAAAAAAAAGAAAGAAAACTTTGACCTTGAAATTCAAGGTCAAGGTTCTTTACACGTATCTCCATCAAACTGTTTCTTTCCACCCAATACGGAACAACGCCTCGAGAGACAGTTCTACAAATTATAAAACATCGAGCGATAGCCCAACGTAAATACATCCGCCACTCGGACTAGAATCCACGTGATTTCACTGCGATTTCGTCGCTGCGTAAATTCGGGCAAATGCGTGACCCACGGGCAAATGTTAATAACAAATTCGATGAAACAGCTCGTTAACGTTGATTCGTTCGCTGCGTTATTTGCTACGGCCCATCAGGGGGCAGGCGGAGAGGGGACGGGGCACGGTGGGAGAGGAGAGAGCGCGACGAACGCAACAACATTTTACGGTGGTGTAACCTAAACTGCCCCACTCTCGGGGATACGTGCGTACTTTCGGCACATTCGTTACACCGGGGGAGAGGATCGGACGAAAAAGCCGAAATTGCGGGCGAATAATTAGCGTCAACGTTACAACGTCGCTAATGACTGTATTGTTTGACGACGGTGGGACGCGCCACGTTAAACGCGACGCGTCACCCCTCCTCTCCTCTCCCCTCCACTCCTCTCCACCAGCGCCACGGTATTTCCGAGCTGTCACGCATCGCTCACATTCAGAAATAATACGGTCAACTGAATTCTCCGCGCGTGCACGGATCCCCCCGGAAAATGCAACAACCACGACGTGCGTGTGCGCGGGCGAAACGTCGAAGAGCAACTCTTTCGCTCGCGGAGCGTGTAAATTATCGTATAGCGGGGCACACGCAGGCGCCTCGAATAATTTATTTCGAGCTTTCAGAGCTTTATCGCAGCGATCTGGAGTATATACCAAGAGCGAAACTGTGGACGACGGTTGAAGGAAAAAAAAAAAAAAGAAAAAAAAAAAAAGGAAAACGATCGTTGACCCCGCAAGGATTTCCGTCGTGATGTACTATACCCTTAATTTCTAGTACAATAATGTAACAAGCGGCAAAAATAAATAATAATTGCATCGAGAGGAAGCGAGGAAACGGTGAGTAGAGATAGGAACGAGATGAACACGGAATCGAGGCAAGCCCAAGTAGAGTGCGTAAAGAATATTCAAGGTTGGCTTCCCGGTAGGAAACACAAGAAACCCGAAAAAGAAAGTGAACGAATTCAAGGGATAAATCAATTGTGCGGACCGCGTTGTCGATACCGATATCACTAATACATATATATATACAAACACAAGTTCGCCAATGATCCTCTTTTCACAGTTATAAGAAGCAATTAAATCAACGACGATCAACAGAGACGATAATTAGCCAATTAGAAAATTAATTTGAGGCTAGTTTTTGGAATCAGCTTCGCCAGTTTTCTGGTTTTTGTTTCGATCAAGTTTTAAAGATATCCAATTTCTTCCCTGTTTTTTTTTTTTTTTTTTTTTTTTTTAGAAGTTAACAACTCGTCGTTATGTACAAATTTGGAAGAGTAGGCCACGTTATGTACAACGATTCTCGGACGTCGAATCGCACGCACCATCGACTTCTCGCGCGAGCACAGCAGCTTGACTTTCACTCCGGACAGTGTGCTTTCGCGCCGCGGCGCCTCGATCCTCCTCTGGATCTTTCTTCCTCTCTGTCGCCATTCTCTCTCCGTTCCGCGTGTTTCAACTGCGGAAAAGAAACCGAACGCGAACCGTTACCGCGTTACAATTAATCGTCAGCTCCGTGTGTCTTGTCGAGCGATTTACACAGCCTGTTCAGCCATTCAGCGTGACCAATATTTTAAATACGAACGACATTGAAAACGTAGATTTAAAACTTTGAAGAATATTGAAAGTAAATTAAAATTTCCGATAGAAATACAATAAATGTTAAGAAAAATTGGGAAACACGATCGAAGGAGACTAATTAAATAAGAGACCTCTCGACATTTAAAGCAGTTAAAACAACAGCCCGAAAAATTAGACCAAGATCGATCAATGAACTTCTCTCCGCGTTCAAATTTTCATTGCCAATGTCTCAATGGAGAACCGAGAGAAGCCCGCGACGCGCGAGATCGATAAGTGCTGGCGAGCCGTCTAAACTAACAAATTATCGTCCTGACAAGCGGGGCCCATGCTGGGCCAGTTGCAAGCGGCCGCTGCCTTGTCGAAAGTCAAATGCACGGGGCATTTGAACACGTGAAGGGTGAACCTCTTCTTCCATTCGTCCCAATGGCAGGCGTAGAACTTGTTGCAGAAGTTAGGGTGTCTGAAGAGACCCGGTCTCGCGCAATGGGCGCTTCCGTCGATGATCTCCTCCGAGGCGTCTGTCTCTTCGGAACGATCGGAACTGGAATCGTCATCAGGAGCATCCACGACGGAACGTTCCACGGCTAGGCGTTTACCCTGGCTCAGACTCTTGGCAGATGATCTGAAATTGGCAGTGAATCCCGAGGAGCTAGATCCAACGCTCGGCAGGTAAGCGAACGATGGAGCTTGAGTGCTCGTGGCCCCTATAGCTTGTGAGAGTTCGTTGTAGATCTTGACCGGTTGCTTCGACGACAACGACGATGACGACTCGTGATTGGTTACTTGGTAATCTTGAGACTCGTAGGAGCCTTCCTTTTCAAGGTCCACGTAGATCTCTGACTCGTCGTAGTTGGACAAGTCCACCTTACCCTTGGACGAGTTGATCAGCTTGGAGCCAGGACCTCTGAGATTTGCGAAAGGATCCCCTCTGCACGTACATTCGGCTCCTAGTTTCCCCAGGAGGATAGGGTGCAGATCGCTCCACTTCACGATCACTTTGCCTCGTCCAACGGCCGTGGACTTGTCGGTTGTCTGATACGTTGTGAGAGAAGATGACCTGGAGTATCCTGCAGAGTAAGTCGTCGTCGACGAGCCATAATTCTGTCGACTGATCGCGTAACCATCGTCGAATTGGCTCGGAACGTATTTGGTGGTGCCTCTGTTGTAGTTGGTAACGAGCTTTCCAACTTCCTCTCTGCCAATCGCCACGTTCGTAGGCGAACCAGATGGAAGCGGCGTTGATTGTTGATAGCTGACACCGGGCAATGAGAATGGTATTCCGTAAGTTACTCCAATGGCTGGTGATGGAGTGGTAGGTCCATAGTCGTACTAAAATGTTTCATACAGGAATTGCAGTAAATCCTATACAACAACAGAGCTAAAAATTAAAAAGTGATATTATACCTGTGGTTCCCCAACAGGATACTTTGACGATACTTTAAACACAGTTGTTCCACCAGGTCGAGAGGTCGTTGTTCTAAACTCAGGCCCAGTACCAAATTTGTCTCGACTTATGGTCACAGGCACTTGTGTGGGTGATACTACAGTCTTGTATCCAGTGTCGATCAGTGGTTGAACCGTAGAAACAGTAACAGGGATCCTAGCCGCTTCGAAGACGGTCGTTTTGTAATTCTCCAGTGGTCCAGTGGTGTAGAGCAAGGGTGTACTAGTTGCAGTCGGTGCTCGCGTGAAACCGCTTGGCCTTGGGTACGTGCTCGCAACTGTGGGCGAACCGGTAATCTCGCCGAATTTCGGTGTGTTGTATATATCGACGCTTAAGAACGGCGTTGGAGTAGTTATACCAACGACGCCGCTCTCTGTCGAAGAAATGGGCAAATTCTTCGTGACTCCCGTGTCGAACGGAATGCTGGGCGTAGGATAAGAATAGCCTAAATTGTTTGGTCTGTACGTGGAAGTTGCTCCCGTGTAAGCGTTGGCGCTGCTTTCGGTGGACGATTTCGTGTATCCCGCCACATTACCTTCGAAAGCTTTCGCGCCAATGTGGTCAGGATTCGGAGCAGGACTTGTTCTTCCAGTGCTAATCACGTAACTACCACCAGCGCCCAAAGTAGCAGTCGTGAAACCTGTTTTGGTAGGTCCAGTTTTAGTGAATCCAGTAGAAATAGCACCGGGACCTTTCCTTCCTGGAAGAAGAGTATCTGGAGGAATCGCGCCACCGGTTGGCCTGTAATCTGGAATATCGTTCTCCGTGTACTTGGTGGTCACGTCGCCGTTGTTAAATCTAATGGTACCGCGTCCTCCGTTATCGTGGTACTCGTTGGTCTTGTAACCGGTATCGAAGGTCGACGGTGTGGTTCCAATCTTTGTTCCAAACGGCGATCCTGGGGTCGAGAAATCTAAACCACCGTGTGCAAAGTCTGCCGAGGAGCTAACGACTGTTCCTGGCACGATAGATCCACCGATAGACACTCCAGGAACTGTCTGTCCCGTGAGGACTATTCCAGGACTCGGTTGACCCCTTATGACAGTTGCAGGTAAAGGTGTTTCAGCTACTACGACACCGGGTGCAGGTGTTCCGTATATCGTCGTTCCAGGACTGGCTGAACCCGGGAACAGAGTTTTCACTCCGTCACTGATCACGTATCCAGGCGACCCAGGACCAGTTTTCGTGTATCCAGGATGATTTTCCCCGGTTGTTATGCTGCCTTGATTCGAAGAACTTGTGAAAACAGTGCCAGAAGCGCCTCCGTGGCTGATGAGTGTCCCTGGAGTGGAGTCTCCAGTGATAATCGATCCTTGGATGCCGTGTCCTGTTACGATACCACCTGTATCTGTCGCAACTCCAAAGCTACCGGTAGGCGTAACGCCTCCGTAATACGTTACACCTCCAATGGAAGGTACGTGACTGCCAAAAGTGGCGTTTAAGCCTCTGGAAAATCCAGTTGTGCCTTGGTAAATGTTCGTCCCAGTAGCTCCGTGGCTTGGAACGTAGCCTGTTACAATGGTCTGACCATCTGACGGTTGAGAAAATCCATAACAATTGATAGTAACGCAGGTTGGTGTCTGAGGCTTATCCGCGAAAAGGGGTCGAGCTGTAAATTAAACGAGATATTTTTAATTGAACATATTTTCATTTGGTCCGATCAGAGATAAGTTGTAGAATGAACTTACGTGTCTGTGAATATATGTCGGTTACACCGTGTTCTAATCCAGTTCCAGGTGCACCAGAGGAAGGATAAACTGGCGTTTGTGATTGACCAGAACCAAATGTCTGTCCGGAATATCCAGTTATGCCTGCGGAACCAGTTCCGGAATAGCCAATTCCAGCGGAAGATCCTGTCGAGCCGGGATAACCTCCTGATCCAGTGTGATCAATAATGTGAGTTCCACTACTGGTTCCAGCGTATCCTCCAGTAGATCCTCCCTTCGTTGCTGAATATCCTCCAGCACTAGTGTCGTGACCGACGAAACCTTTTCCCGTATATCCTTGACCAGGTGCAACAGATCCAGTCGTTCCTACATGTCCAATGCTTCCAACTCCTGTGTATCCAGTGCCAATCGTTCCTCCTGAATATTCTTTACCTCGAGATCCTCCATAATGTCCTGTTTCACTGTAGCTTGTTCCAGTTCCTGAATATCCATGATCAGCTCCTGAACCGGAATATCCACTTCCAGTTGTTCCTTGGTTAGTATATGATGTTTCATGTGTAACTCCTCCTGCTCCGGAATATCCACTTCCAGTTGTTCCAGAGTATATACCGGATCCTGAAGTTTCATGTCCAAACCCTCCTGCTCCAGAATATACACTCGATCCTTGACCAGTATATGAAGTTCCATGTGTGGCTCCTGCTCCAGAGTATCCACTTCCAGGTGTTCCAGAATATACACCCGATCCTGGGCCAGTGTATGAAGTTCCTTGCGTAGCTTCTGCTCCAGAGTATCCACTTCCAGTTGCTCCAGAATATACACTCGATCCTTGACCAGTGAAAGAAGTTCCTTGCGTAGCTCCTGTGCCAGAATATCCACTTCCTGATCCTTGACCAGTATATGAAGTTCCGTGTGTAACTCCTGCTCCAGAATATCCACTTCCAGGTGTTCCAGAATATACACCCGATCCTGGGCCAGTGTATGAAGTTCCTTGCGTAGCTCCTGCTCCAGAGTATCCACTTCCAGTTGCTCCAGAATATACACTCGATCCTTGACCAGTGAAAGAAGTTCCTTGCGTAGCTCCTGTGCCAGAATATCCACTTCCTGATCCTTGACCAGTATATGAAGTTCCGTGTGTAACTCCTGCTCCAGAATATCCACTTCCAGGTGATCCAGAATATACACCTGATCCTTGACCAATGAAAGAAGTTCCTTGCGTAGCTCCTGTGCCAGAATATCCACTTCCCGATCCTTGACTAGTATATGAAGTTCCGTGTGTAACTCCTGCTCCAGAATATCCACTTCCAGGTGATCCAGAATATATACTTGATCCTTGGCCAGTGTATGAAGTACCGTGTGTAGCTCCTGCTCCAGAGTATCCACTTCCAGGTGTTCCAGAATATACACCCGATCCTGGGCCAGTGTATGAAGTTCCTTGCGTAGCTCCTGTGCCAGAATATCCACTTCCTGATCCTTGACCAGTATATGAAGTTCCGTGTGTAACTCCTGCTCCAGAATATCCACTTCCAGGTGTTCCAGAATATACACCCGATCCTTGGCCAGTGTATGAAGTTCCGTGCGCAGTTCCTGCTCCAGAGTATCCACTTCCAATCGTTTCAGAATACACACCAGATCCCTGACCAGTATAAGAAGTTCCATGATCGATTGCTCCTATTCCAGAGTAGCCACTTGCAGTTGTTCCAGTGTATGCACCGGATCCTTGACCACTGTACGATGTTCCATGACTGGCTCCTGCTGATCCAGCATATCCTGTTCCTTGTCCAAACGGTGATCCTCTAACTCCAGCTGCTCCAGAAAATCCTGATCCAGTGGCAACCGTCGAACCAGTATACCCTCCTCCACTCTTGCTTCCCGCGTAACCATAAGGTAATTCTCCTGTATAGTATCCACCAGTACCCGCGGTAGTGCCAGTGCCGTAGTATTCCGATCTCGTGTAAGCGGTATCGGAGTAGCCCGGTACCAACCACGGCCACTCGCAAATCAACTTTTGCTCGTCGAAGATCAAACCGAACGGGCAACGGAATTCGTAAGCCGTTATTTCGGGCCCTCCTGTCGTCAGAGTTTCAAGTTAATGTTTCAAATAACAAACAAGGCCGAGAGATTGTTCAACTGAAATGATGTAAACCTAGATCGACGCAGGCGAAGAACCAACGAGGATTTTGTGGATCCGCGTAGTAGCCAGATTTGGAAGGGCACTCGAACCTCACTCGAGGCACTGGCGCGATTTCGCTGCTTCCTGGACACGGTGACCCTTCAGGCAGAGATCCTGGCCAAACGCAGACTTCGGTACGCTCGTCGAACGACAGACCTGCTGGACAATCGAACTCGAACACGGAGTAGTCCTCCACTTCTTGGTTGAATTTGACACATCGATAGAATCTGCAGGATGAGAGATAGGAAAATTTTCGTTGCAACGAAAAGAATATTTGCAACGACAGCGACGTACCTGTTGCAACTCTTCGGGTGGACGAAGTAGCCCTGCCTGGAGCAAGTGAACTCTGTCTGCGTGTTCTCTCGAACCACTCTGATGTGTCCCTCGGTGTCCACGACGCGGACCACTCGGAAATCGGATGACTTGACTTTGGTCGAATACTCGAGCTCGGTTTGCTGGAATTGAAAGTAATTCTGGTATTGATCGACATTTTACAAGGCTCACGCTAATGAAGGAACGCGTTGCTGGACGTCAGTTGTGTGTAAATTCGTAAAGCGTGGTAATTTATTTTGAATAATTTCTCAGTCTTCTATTAGTCGAAATTAGAATCGATTTGAATAGCGTTGGACATTGCCATCGACCGATACGTAGCCGCGATCCAGACCATTCACCGAAAGGTGGCGTGCTGATGAAGATTTCAATTCTTCAACCACTAGACATTTAACAATAAGTTGAATTTCTTTAACCTACGTGTAAATCATCTTCCAAAGAGTTCAAAACGGCGGCCCTCGATTTCCTCTTGAAACTCGAGAACGAGCGGTGAACCTCGTGCGTGAGAGGTATCCCGCACTTTGTTTTAAAGTCGTTCTCGACGCCGTGAACAGCCAATCCAGGAAGCTCTCGGATCAGAGCGTACTTTCCCTAAAAAAAAAAAAAAAAATAATAATAATAATAACAATTCGCCAATTGAATCGTCCAAATCAGAATTCGACGACAAAAGTGAAAATTCCCTACTTTTATAGAAACCGATATCCTGTCTTCGAAGGCGATCCACGTTTTATCTTTGAACGCGTAAGGAGCGGTAAGATCTTCGTCCCTCTCCACTGTCCATTCACCTTTGTTCATTAAATCGCATAGCTGAAACAGTCATCGACAATTTTAATCGTGGAAAAATCCTGAATAATCACCATTCGTCCGTCAACAACAGTTTTTTTAATCGCAAGTAAACTCTGTTCTTAAGAATTATCCGTTTCGCACCTCTTTCTGATCAACGATAACCGGCTGGATCTCCTCGGCCGGCGCCCCGGGGGCATTGTCGTCCTGATCCTTCAGCGTGAACTTGTACGCGCTGGCCGGCAACGATATCAGGATCTTCCTCTTAGGCACGCCTAATCCGCTGATCAAGTCGATCAAACTGTCGGCGTTGAACATGTCGAAGAGGCCCATCAATCGTGACGGATGAAAAGTGCGACGGGTCGCGTCATCTTCGATCAAATAGTGCGTCGGGACGGTGAACAGATCCACATACCTGTCGGTGAAAGCAAGAAACATCAGGCTTTTGTTCCTCGTCGGTACATTCTTTTTATTTCTTTTTTTTTTTTTTACAGATTTCTTAGCGATGAAAAGTGCAATAAAAATAGAGAGGTGAAAAGAAATATATATATAGAGGTGAAATAGAAATCTCCAGTCGATTCATCGAACCCTATGAATCATCGCGAAACGTGTTCGTTTCTACAAAACTCTCATTCATTTTGAAGAATTGCTTGGAACACCCATAACATCGCGTGTATTACGTGCGAATATCACAAACATCGTTTGTTTAGGACAGTGACGGCGAACCTTTTTGAGAAGTGGGTCAAATTTTGTTCATTATTTTTTTTAGTACTAGCTCGTGAGTCATCAAGTCAGTGGCGTCACTTGGAAAGGGGGAGGGAAGGATGGTTAAAAACTACTTTTTTTTGATTCTCACTTTTATAATCCTCTAAAAAGTTTACGTTTCCTTTTTGTTTTACAACTTTTACTTTTGCAAGTGAAGAGCAAAAAATAAATATCGACGTCAAAAAATTGATATAAAAGGAGTGACATTATGCCCAGTCACCCCTGCACTATACATTAGATATATATACTTTACTTCTTAATATTTTTTATTGTCTATTGTCTCTTTTATTATATAAAAAACCAGCAAAGCTACCCATTCTGGAGAATGGGATCTAGTGTGTTTCTTACATCCGTTTAATCGTAAGCGCTGTATAAAATTTTTTGGACACAACTAACTCGTATAACATTTAAGACTTAAAATACTTATATGTATACATAACCAAGTCGTAAATCCTCCATAAAACACAATTATGCATTTATTTTTCACTTTTAAGCACTAACCGAACACTTTCTTAACATTTTTTAAAAAGAGAGGTTCGAAAAATAATTAAAATTCTTTTATATACATGACGTTATATTCTTTTATATATATATGACGAGTATATATATGTTAACTTTCTTAACATTTTTTGAAAAGAGGGATTCGAAAAATAATTAAAATTCTTTTATATATATGACGTTATATTCTTTTATATATATGACGAGTATATATATATGTTAATTTTCTTAACATTTTTGAAAAGAGGGGTTCGAAAAATAATTAAAATTCTTTTATATATATGACGATAAGTTTATAAAAATCAACGCCTGACTATAAAAATCAGTGTCTGACCCGCGGGTCATAGGTTCGCCATCAATTGGTCTAGAATTTACTCATTTAGATCTCTGATCTGAATATTTAATGTCACGGCTTCGAGTTCTCGAAATTGAGCCATCAGTCGTCGATTCGTACAAAAGAAATTATACGAGATGAGAAAGCATTGATCTCAGAATTTCATTAGCAATGAAACGCGTACAAAGGAGGGTCGTTTCGCATAAGAACGTTCCCTCGTAAATCGTAATCTCGTCGATTTGACTCGTACGCATTCTCTCGTTCGTCGCGTCGCGATCCCTCATCCATATTCAATAGAAAGAAGTTCAACGATACGACGACTCTATTGTATCAGATCATTCTGTCAATTAGAAGACGCGTGAAAATCCGTCTCGGCGAGTCGTTTGATCAAATAGTGCATCGCGGCATTCCTGACCTACCTGATCTACTGAGTCGACAACTGGCACAAGGTTAGGCAGACACGCCGAACATGGACGGATAGATTCTACTGAATCTGTTTTTACTTAACTCGCCGGTCAATAATTTATGAGATTAAAACACGTACGCAACACGTTGATTCGTAGAACGCATCTGGCTTAGGTCTGGGTTAGGCGTGTATTCTCGAGAGGCAGCGATTGTGACGCAAGTTCAGAAGTTGTGGAAAGTTGAAATTACTGAAGTTACATTCGTTACTTTGATCACTCTTTGATATCGGCGTGGTCAGAGCTTTTCCAGACTGGCGAGTTGCCGTTTTTGGATTTTGAATTAGTTGCAATTGAGCGGATATGAACAATTCTTACTTGGTCAATTCCTTTAGATCGAACTGTTTGGCCAGTTCCTCCGAGTTTGTCGGTAGAACCAAGAACAGTCTACTGTCGTACGATTTTCTCACCAGTTCGTCTTTCAAACCCTTCACAAAGTGCACCAGACGTTCCTTCGATCCGGCAGTCACGTTCAATTCGACTCCGTCGATCTGTGGAAATTGAGCAGGATTCTTCAGAAACGAGTCGTCGGATACGACAGTAGAAAACAGTAGGAACGATAATTGCCTCTTTCAAAACTCCCATCAAACGAGCGATGATCTCTTGACGAACGGTACCGGAAGTCCTCAGCGTTCTCCCAGGATCGTCCACGGAAACCACGAACTGCAACCACGGACTGATCTTCTTCAACGACTTCTGAAAGCCCTCGAATTCTAAAAAACGAGAAGAAAAAAAACGTACGAAATAAAAAAATACTTGCGTAACAAAAAAAAAAAAAAGATACCTCTCGCAATTGCCATCATTGTTTACATTGTTCCCTGTTTTCTTGGAATCTTGCTTCCACATATTTCCCCTTTTAAATCACCGTGATTTTTCACGCTTCCCAAGGTAGAAAACCCCTAAAAACCAGGCCTAACAGTAAGACACGTTTCATAAGGATAGTATCTGCTGTCGTAAAAGAACTGTCCGCGAGAAGTTCCGGCTTCCTTTCCACGTGATTGCCAATCTAGTTGTACAATCAACGCGGCCGACACGAGATGCCGTTCGGTGAAACGAAATCTTCGTCCACGCCGTACAATTAATCGTGGACTTTCACGTATTTTTCTAATTGGACGGTGACAGTGACTGTTTCTAAAAATGACTTCCTATTAGCAGCCCTTTCGTAACCGTATCGTCATTACGGTGGCAATTTTTTTTCTGAGATGTTTAATCTATCTCAGAGTCTTCCGCAGCTTCGTTTCGTTTCGGACGAAAAACGAGTTTGAAAATTTCTCAATCGCCATGGCGATTTTTTAGCTCAATTCAAAGTCCACTTTTGTTTTTTCTAAAGCTTCAGATTTAAGAAAAAATTTTATTCTATGTTTTTCATCTATTTTCGCGCGTAGGATAATTATTATTTTCCGATGCATCTAGAACTAACCACGTTCAAGTATGCTTAATAAATTTTCTCAAGATGAAAATATTTTATTCGACATCTTTGACGTTTTTTACATTACAATATTATTTCAAGTTTCTACATTATTTTCGCGCGTAGAATAACTTTCTGTTAATTATTATTTTCTGATAGAATCAGCCAAATTCACCTCGATAAACCTCCAAGCTAAATTTTATTCTACGTTTTTTTATCTATTTTCGCGCGTAGGATAATTATTATTTTCCGATGCATCTAGAACTAGCCACGTTCAAGTATGCTTAATAAATTTTCTCAAGATGAAAAAATTTTATTCGACATCTTTGACGTTTTTACATTACCATATTATTTCAAGTTTCTACATTATTTTCACGCGTAGAATAACTTTCTGTTAATTATTATTTTCTGATAGAATCAGCCAAATTCACCTCGATAAACCTCCAAGCTAAATTTTATTCTACGTTTTTTTATCTATTTTCGCGCGTAGGATAATTATTATTTTCCGATGCATCTAGAACTAACCACGTTCAAGTATGCTTAATAAATTTTCTCAAGATGAAAAAATTTTATTCGACATCTTTGACGTTTTTACATTACAATATTATTTCAAGTTTCTACATTATTTTCGCGCGTAGAATAACTTTCTGTTAATTATTATTTTCTGATAGAATCAGCCAAATTCACCTCGATAAACCTCCAAGCTAAATTT